TTTTATCATACACAAAAATTGAAACCAGGTTATATCGAGATTTCGAGATTAACTGATATCAAAAAAAAAAAATTTTTGGTGATACCCGAATTCATAATTTATCTACTTATATACTTATTAGACAAGCCGGAATATTAAATTTTGTTACCGGTTACAAACTTTCGATAATTTTTAAACGATTATCTTTCACTTTTATAATCAATTTGATTAAAACCACGTTTTTTTGACTTAAAATTAATATACTTTATAAGTTAGTCAATCATATATTTTTGTGAAAAAAAATATTTTTTTTTTAATACATGGGTTACGTTCTAAAAAAAAATTTATACAAGTCTGAATTTAGATAATTTAAATGACAAGGGAAACATCATACATGTAAATAAAAATTTTTATGCGCGTTAATATAGATAAATTATTATTAATTCGGAAAGAAACGGACAAATCACTCAAAACTAACATTAAAAACTAACATTATAAACACATTATAAACACATTATAAACACATTATAAATACATTATAAATACATTATAAAATACATTATAAATACATTAGAAATCATGAAAAACACGAATAACACGAATAATTTTAGCAAGAAAAATTAGAATAATAATAAAAAGAATAATTCGATAAGTTAATGATTTAAGCAAAATTACAAGCATTTATTAACATTAATGATTAATCAAATGATTAATCAATGGTATACCAATACGCAACATAATTTAGATACGTATTGAAATTATAACTAATAATGCCGTTCATTATATGCGTGCATTAAGTTAATTTTGATTGGACTTTCTTTATACAATAATGCAGCATACATTAGTTTATGAAGAAATTTTCTTTTTTTCAAAAAATTTAGGAAAACAATATGGTTGTACCTTGCAATACGTATAAACGGTAGCAAAAAAATCAAATAAAGAAAAATATGTTGTACTTTTTTTTAATATTTGTTTATTGTGTTTGATAGGTATATAATTTGGTTATAGAACAAATTTCTTTGTCTAGTTCAGGTTCACGGCGGTAAATTATTCAAGAAAAAAAATAAACACATAGGCAAACTAATTTTTTCAAGCATTTTGAAAGTTCCGATGATGCAGTTGATAATTAAATACGTAAAAATACGTATGTACTGTACATACCAGATACAGTGAAGTACGTATAACTTCAAAATAGTGTATTACGTATAGTATCATTGCTAGTCGTTTGTTCAAAGTTTCTTGGAAAAATCTATAGAAAATAACCGCCTCAAATTATTAATTATTAATACGTACGTGAGAATGTTTCTTTGTTACTGAAAACTGGAAATTTTAATCAATACGTATCGATATGTAAGGTAAAAATTGAATTAATAATAGCGCCAAATTTGTACCTCGGAACAACTATTGTATATAATAATTTTTTTAATTTTTAATTAATAAATATATAATTAAAAATTAAACCAATTTTCAATTTAAGAACATTTATGTAACTCCTATTGAAAAAATTTTATTAATTTCCAGAACTCGGGCTGGGATATCCAAAAATCTATTAGAGATTCGATACTCGGATTAACTATGAATAAAAATGTACAGAATCTAACTTTTTTCACATAAGCCACACTTAGTTTTAATGACAGTATATATATATATATCGATATATTTATCGGTATCGATATAGATTATATATATATATATATATATTTAATAAAAAAAATTATACATAACGAAGATATACTGCATATCGATTATGCATAAGTTGAACAAGAAATGATAATAATGAAAATTTCAACTAATAAAAATGTTGCTGTCTATACCGTGCATTATGATAGATATTGTATATCTTGTAAATAAATTTTAGACCCATCTAATAATTTATATTAACACAATTTAGTTATAAATTCGAGTTTAAAATATAGTTATTATAGTTATTATAGTTATTATTCACTATGATGATGATATACACAACAATCACAATGGTCTTTTGTTTTAAAGAAAATTAGATCTAGTATAATTATATATTGAATATATACAATATATATCTGATATACATCCATTTACTAGTAGTACTCACCCTTATATTTAACTCATCCAGAAACCAATATGATGATCATCGACCTCGCCTCAAAATCCATTATTGATGAAAAAAAAATCGTAATGTATATAAATGTAACTTATATAAATGTACATATATAATGTATATAATGTATATAATGTATACAATATACAGTATACAGTATTAACATCATTTATATCAAAACATTTGGATTTTTTTTTTAATTCATTATTATTAACGTTAAATGTTAATAAGCACTAAATATAAGACGCTGCCGGAGACGCTAATTGTATATTTGTATTGTTATATGCTATAAAATGGTCGAAAAAAAAAAAGATTTTTTTTTTTTTATATGTTTTAAAAAAAAAACTTTATACATTGTTTTTTCGACATGGGTTTATAAAATAAGTATATAAAAGCTATATAAAATTTAAAATAAAATAACCATCGCTTTTTACAGTTTTACATTATAGCAATAGTACATAGTGTACGTAATATCAATATATATATAAATATATATTATATACATATATATATATATATATATATATATATATATATATATATTATATACATATGTATATATATATATTATAAATACAATACGTATAACGATAATGTATATTTACATCTATATTATATTGCATATTCGGCGGCGATGGATATATTTAGTCATATCAACAGTATGTATCGTACAGTATAATATAGTGTGTAAATATTCATTACTTAATTGTATAAGATGCACTTATGGCTTTTATTTCTTTGAAAATATAAATTCGGAATAGGTGAAACTATATAAAAAAGATCAGATTGCGTCTTGAGCAAGATAAAATTACTACCTCTCTTTGCTAACAAAGAGAATATTATAACGAAAGCAACCTTCATTCGCTTTTTCAAAAAAATTTTCTCCTTATTTTATAATCTTAGAATTAATAATAAATGAAATAACATTTAATCAATAAAAAAAATATATCCTCAATTTTTTTTACTTTTTTCTTCGGGTTTAATACTCTCGAAAAATTTCTCTTTTTTCCTTCCCATTTACAAACGATGGAACTAGATATTGACTGGTGTCTTAATTGTAGTAAACAACTTTACGATACAAATGCACTATATTGCGGTTCAGAATGTGCAAACTTGGAATATTCAACAAAAACTGCCCCTATTAATTCCACTTTGAGTCCACCTTCTTCACCTCCTAGTAATTTGAGATTTTCTATTGCAATCACACCAAATATTTATCATGCATCCGAATCTAACGCGAGAGCCCTTTCACCGCCTTCATCAGCATCCAGTTCCTACACTGATTCCAATCTTTCTTCCTCACTCACCAGCGTTTGTACTATTGACAAATGTTGTACCGGCATCAATGGCCAAGACAATAATGATGATGCCTTCTTTGATGATTACAATCCTTGCTATTACTCTACAAGTAATCCTATTGATATTCCAACATCCAGAACAAAGGTCGATTCTAAAATGAATGAACAAGCTAAACCTGTTTTCGGATTTGGTGAAGGCAGCTTCGGAAAAAAGATTGATTTCTAATCTAAACGTTTTTTTATGAAGGAAAAATAGGAAAAAATAAGAAAAAAATTTAGAACCTACGAGAAAAAGTAAAAAAAAAAAATAAATCCGTATGATGTCCTCGGATATCCGGATTACTCAAATATAAAAAACATTTAATCCTTAAAATTACAAGATCTCGCACATAATTTTAAGATTTATTATGGATCATTATTATTCAACATTATGATTTAGTCTACGGACTTACTTGACTTTTACGGATTTTTGATTTCGCAACAAAAAAAAAAGAAAAAGAAAAGAAAAGAATTTTCTTTTTATTAAGAATTTTCTTTTTTTTTCATCTATGTATATAAAAATCACCTTTTTTTTTCTTAACAATTATTTTACTATTTTTATTCTTTTTATATTCGAAACGTGAAACGAAAACGAAACGAAAACGAAACGGAAACGAAACATTACAAATTTTTTTTAAAACTATAAACCTAAGCATTATGTTATTTTTTTTTAAAACTAAATTTAAATTTTTTTGCGAAATCAATTTTACGATTATAATTCAAATTCTATAAATTCTATTCAAAAATTATTATATATTTCATTTTTATGTATAGTTAAATGTGCGAAAAATTATATATATATATATATAACCCTTATTTTTTTATAATTTAACCCTCAAATCATTAACTACCGATTATATGTATTATAAATAAGAAACAAAAAATACTTTTTCTCATCCCCTCTTCCATTTCATCCGATCCTACCTTATCTCTGTACATTTTTGTAATATATTTTTTCCTTCCTTCAAATTTCACAACTTAACCACGCTCTTTGTATTATAATCCTATCTTACTTTTTTTTCTCCTTTTTTTTTTTTTTTCTTCTTCTTTTTATTTCCTTTTTTACGTAAATATATATATACAAAAAAATTACCTCTACTTTTGTGCGTACTTTGTCTTAAATTTCGGAAATTTATAGTCTCAGTTGGGGATTCTATAAGTGAATGAAATGGCGGACAAAGAACGCTTAATTGCATTATATAATTTCTTTCTATTTTATTATTATTTTCATTTTTAAATAATTATTTGTAATTCTGAAAATTGTGTCAAAAAAAATGAAAAAAAATATAAAAATAAAAATAAAAAAAAAAAAGTTCTTAAGTGTTGTTTGATAAAAAAAATTTTGAAAGTAATTTCGTTTTTATTTTATTTTTTTTTGGTTCATTACGAAAGATATCTAAAAAATCGAGAGTTTTACAAAAGGGAATCAAAGGAATAAAAAGTTTTATTAAAGGAATCAAAAATTTTATTAAAGGAAATTAAAAATTTTATTAAAGGAAATCAAAAGTTTTATTAAAGGAATAAAAGGAATCAAAAGTTTTATTAAAGAATCAAAGTAATCAAAGTAATCAAAGTAATCAAAGTAATCAAAGGAAGGAATGATTAATTTATTTCTCATTCAAAGCTTTTTTATAAGTTGATTTCCCTATAAAAATGTCTACATAATCTCTTTCTTTATCATTGCTCATAACTTTACCTCTTTTAAATTTCGCAACTCGAGCCTTTCTTTTATTTTGTTTTTTAGAAATTTTCGTCGATGAATTAGATTTTGGACCAAGAATTTCTTCTTTTTTTGATGATGATTTGGTAGTTTGATCAGTCTTAGCAGTAGTAATATTAGTAGCAGTAGCAGTCTTATCAGTAGTAGTATTAGCAGCAGTAATGTCGAGTGAAGAAGATTCTTTAATTGCTGCCTGAACTCTTTTTGCTTCTTTTGTCTGTAAAGAAAAAGAAATTTACATATTGCTGTATTGGAGAGAACCATTTATTGGAAACTTTTGCTTACAAGACGTTTAGTAACCTTTGCAGATTTGCCCATTATGTTCTTTGACACTATCGCTATTTGGAGATATGTAAACGTATAACATATAAACGACAAAAGTAACATAAACACAAGTATTCCCGTACAACGTAGGATATAGCTACTTGAAAAATGTTAGTTAATTATGGGATTAGTGTTACAGCATGGTAAGGCATCAACATTTAACTAATCACGTGACTATGGACTTTTTTTAAATGCACCATGCGTTCCAAGAAAAAGAAAACAAAGAACATGTGAGTACATTACGTATTTATTTTGTCAATTTTCGTGTAGTGATAGGCATATGCTCTCAACTTCCACTTGAGAAATACAAAACTGTAGAGATTCAAATGTCGGAAAAACAAAAGGATAATCTCGATAATTGCAAATTTTAATAATGTAATTTTTTTTTACTACGTCATTTTATATACGTGCAACAATGTGTCATGACTTATTTTATATACATGTAACAATGTGTCAAAAGAAACTGTTTCATGACTTATTTTTCGACCAATTTTCTGTTTGTATATTAATCAGATAAGTGCATCATCTAATTCTATTTATCTATTAAGAAGAAGTCGAATAAAGTTTGATGGTGGTGGTTTACTTTGTACTCCCATGTGCATTTTAATTCTACAAGGAAACCAAAAAAAAAGTAATTTTTTTTTTAATTTAAAATCGTTTACTTAACGTTACTATTATGAATTTATGAATTTAAAATCAAGATCATCTTTTAATCATATAAAATACATAGAGATTAAATAAAAAATATATATTTTATATATAATATACATGGGTATTACTCAAAAGAAAAAAGGTTTTGAACACAATATCATGTGTACCGTAAAACGGTAAGGAAAAAAAAATAAAAAAAGTAGTTTTGCATAAACTAATTTTTGACGTGTGATTGTCTTTTATTTTTTATAAAACCTTTTTTCGTGTGCTTCCGTATATCGCCGTGTTGCCATGGTCTGGGCTCTCCATGCAAGGGTTCATTTTTTTTTATCTCGGATATAAACCTCTCGTGTGTAAAAATTTTTAAGAATTTCACGCGAATGCATGTCAATGACATGTCCACTATGCAGTAACTTTTTTCCAAAAGTTATTGTACTTTTCCAAAATGGTTTTAATTAAATCGATACACAACGTTTAATAGAATATCATTTTAACAAGTATCAAAAAGTAATTAGTAATTTATTTTAATCTATTATATAAATATAAGTTGAATTATTCTCATGAATAAAAAAAAAAAAAAAAAGAAAATTAATTTTTTTTAACTAACTCTTAAAACTAATTCTTAAATTAATTCTTAATAATTTCTTAATTTATATTAATGTAGATCTTCATGTGATTTTTTTAATATTATACTGCATTAACATTTGAGGTGGTTTGATGGTTTGTAAGGTTATGTAAACCATTTATATATACACTTATATATACATTTATATATACATTTATATATACATTTATATATACATTTATATATACATTTATATATACATTTATATATGCATTGTTTAAAAACCCGGTTTTTTCTAGTTTACTTATCCTAAAAGTTGATTTATTAAACATCAGTTAAAAACGATTATTAAAGTTAGATTGAGAAATAGTAATCTTTTTTATATTAAGTCCGTGCATTTCATATTGATCTACTAACGAGCGTATTCCCTAAATTTGGAAAACAGACTACACATATCAGATATCTTTAATCAAGCATTGATTCTCCGTGCAGGAAAAAAAGAGTCGATTCTCAATTCATTAAACGCGTGCGAATTAAGCGAATAAGACACTTTTTTTAGGTTGTGCTTTAAGGAGAACTTTTTTAAAGATTTGGATTACAAAAAGTTCTCATGCATCAAAGGTTGTTGACTTTATTTGTATAACAAGACTTTAAAGATGATGTCTTTGTTCCTTTTTTGAGCGTGAAGATCTCTGAGAGAATAATTTCGTGAATTTTTTTTTTTGATAACAGCGCGTGTCGTGACTTTCATTCTTAAGGTTTAATTCTACTAATGCATGTTGTCAGGAAATTACAGAATTATAAGGATATAAATAAAATAGTAATTTATAGTAATTATTAAATCTTTTTTGTGGATCAATACAGTAATATGCACAAAGACAGCAAGATGTCGAGCTATTATTATTATTATTGGGCTTTTTTAGCGGTTTAGGTATTGTATATTTAGGGACAGAAAGTCTTTATTTAGTTTAGTGACTTTTTTTACATATCATTGATGCACAAAAATTCGCTAACCAAAAAAAAATATACTTTGCTCCCAAAATTTATAATATATACGTTGAAAAACGAAAAGTTCATTATTATTTATTATCTCACGTCAAAGTTACTAACACTAAACCTAAAAAACTATTGTTTGTTTGTTGTCAAATGTACCTTTTCAGTCCAATTGGATTAATTACTACGGCACAAAACAATATAATTCTTTAATTACGAATATCAGCATTATTAATTCTAATACGTATATATTTGATTATATATATATATTAATTAAATTATATCAATTGAACAATCATTTAAACAATAATCTGTACGAGAAGAGAGTTCTTTGTGTGAGCAACATAAAGTATCAACAACATAAAGTATCAACATGAAGTATCAACGAGGTTGAATTGTTACATTACATTGCTTAACAAAGCACAATAGGAAGGATTTTTTTTTTTTTTTTTTTTAAAAAAAAAAAAAAATTTTATAGTTCTTTAACGTTAATTATATTGTTTATTAATATGATGAAAATCAGCAAAAATTCAGGTGTCGAAACCAGAGGTTCCGTGCATTATCATGGTTTTCACGAGTTTCATCCGATAACGGTAAATGTACGGGGGAATGTAAATTTTCCGAATCTGAAAATCTTAACGTTAATACTGTAATGATTTACTAAACACCAACTCTGTACAAAAAATATCTCGTGAAAACTATATTAATACTGTAATAGGTAATGATGTATTTCTGCATTGACATTTGAATTTTTAACCGCTCAAAAACTATCTTTCTATCTTTATGAATGAATGTACAATGATGCGCTTATTTACAATATACTTTCATTTTATTTAATTATTGTGTAACTAATGGTGTAAAAAAATTCTCACTACGTATATATTTCAATATTTGTATGCACATTCAAAAATATAATTTTGTTAGTTTTTCCTAAGTTCTCACGCAATCCTCAATACCATAACGATAATTTTCTTCAATCCTGTAATAATTCTGTAATAATTCGAAAGATAATTATAATCTAAAAGATATTATAATCCTGGTCAAGTATCACAAAGATAAAGATAAAATTGATATCGATATATCTAATGTAAGACAATCTAATATGAAGTTAACATATTTAGAATAGTTCATTTAACCAAAAAATTAATATCGTTTATCTATCGTATTTTGTCATTTAACCAAAAGTCATATTTTCGTTCACTGTTACATTTTGGTTTCATTGTATATAGACTTTTCTGATATTCTCAAATGTTACAAGAAGCAACAAGGAATTACCAGAAAGTCGTCAGGAAAACATTTACTAGGAATCCTATACTGAGAGGGTTCAAAAAAGAATAATTTTGGCGCATGCAAAAATATCATGAGATACGTACTCCTGACTTTTTTTACTAATAATAAACACAAGAATTACCGTTATATACCAGAATTTACGAATAAATTTAAATTTAAATTTAAATTCAAACCTTGCACTTACATACCTATTTGTTTTTTTCTACAAATATTTTCTAGAAATTATAGTTTTTCTTTGTTGCGGAACAATGCGGAAGATATAATCACGAGATAGTTTAAGAGATAATCTGAATATTCCGATTACCAGGTGAATTACCAGGGTTAACCTAACCAAAAACAGATCCACGTGCAATTGTCAAAATTATTTTAGTAAAAATTACTAATACAAATAATAATTTCTAATACGTACACGAACAAAAACAACGCATTCTGTTTACTTTTTTCTTATTTATACGAATGTAATACGTCATCAGTTATTGATCACTGTGATGAGTCTAATAACTGACTGCATTAA